ATATATTTATTCTTTTCTGCATCACAAATAGGCCTTTGCAGACACTGCTCTCCTGGCCAGAAAGTCCCTGGTGTAGCTGTCTCTTCCTTATCCTCTGGGCTTTAGCTTAAATGTCACCCCAGTCCTGCTTCCCTGACTGCTGACTCTCAAGGACGGTGTTTGTCTCATTCAAGCCTCAGCCACAAGTGTAGCAGCTGCTCAGTTAACAAATAACAAATGACTGGCTGACCAAGAGGTATAGCATTCAAGGCCCCTACGACTGGCAGAGGAAGAGGAGGCTGGCCCTCCCACTGGAGGGAGACCAAGCTCTGAGTTCATTTTCTCTCTGGAAGAATGGAGCAGATACATCCTTAGATGGCTGCAGTGAGGAGTAAGGAAACAACACACCTGCACACAGGCAGCCTGGCCCCTTTCCTCCTCTCTGAAAGCAAACGTGGATTTTGCATGGGTTCCCAGGCGGGGGAGTCCTCGCCTGTGCCTCTACTAAGGCAAGCTTGGGGCAACCCAGGCCACAGAATGCAGCCTCAGCGCATTTGTCTCCTTCCGCTGAGAGGAGCATGGCGAGATCCCTGCTCTGCTCTCCCCCAGCACATCCCCTGAGGACCTGCCTGTGTCCTCTGCTGAGCTGGCCTGTCTGGAGCAGGGACCCCCATACGATGCCCCAAGAAAGTTAACACATTTACAAGCTTTGTGCATACAGACTGAAAACATTCACTTCTTCTTTTGTTGGTTTTGGGATTTGAACTCAGGAGGGGTTGAGCGCTGGTTGTGCGGCTGGGGAGCTGTGCCTGAGCTTTTCTGCTCAAGGCTAATGCTCTACCACTTTGAGCCACAGCTCTGCTTCTGGTTCCCTGGTGGTCAACTGAAGGTATGAGCCTTTCAGATTTTCCTGTCTAGGCTGGCTTTGAATAGCAGTCCTCAGATCTCAGCCTCCTGAGGAGCTAGGATGACAGGTGTGAGCTAACAGCACACGCCAAACATCTACTGCTCTTTGTTTTTGTTTTTGGCAGTACTGGGGTTAGCAGTTAGGTTCTCCCACTTCCTAGGCAGGTATTCTACCACTTAAACCACAACTCTATTTGGTTTTATTTTTAGGTAGGGTCTTACCTGAATACCTGCCTTTGGCACAGGTATTCAGCACCCCTCCCCCTGTTCCAGGACTGGGAATAGAGAGGGGAAAGGGAAGGGAGGATGCCTGGCCAGAAGTGCAGAATCAGGATTTCTGTCCTGTTTCTCATTCCAAGGCCCCTGCTGTCTCCCCAGGCCCTAGCAGAGCCCTGACTCACTCTACTTCAAAGTATGGTTTCATACTCCATAGCTCCTCCAGGAGACCTGAGTGAATGGAGATAGCAGAAATTGGTGTGGGAGGGGGTGCTAGGAGGAGTGGGGGTGCTGACCTTGTAACTCTGAGCCCATGGGATGAGAGTATGGCTTAGAGACGCACGGCTTTTCCAGAAGCCGGAGAAGAAAGAAGCAGGAGATAGAGTGAGCATGGGAAGAGACCCAGCACTTGGCACTGACACTGGGGGAAATGAAGGAGCAGGGATAGTAAGTGGTCGTTAGAGATCAGGACCCAGAGCAGAGAAGGGAGACAGTTCATTAGGGCTTGGGGCCCAGACCCACTCATTTGATGGACATGGAAAATTGGTTGCTCTAGGGCTCAGAGTGAGGGCCACCAGAAAGCTAAGTGTGAGTCTTGGATCTGGTCCGTGCTGCTGGAGGAAGTCTATTTTTCCAGGGACAGGAAGGAAACAGGTTTGGGCAGGCTGCAGCAGGCCCAGGAGCAACTAGAGGGTGAGGGACCGGGACACCCCACATGGTGGACCCGCGTGGGTCTCGGAACTAGAAAATGGAACATGTGGCTGCAGGGAGAGCCATCCCATGAGCACACCTGGGATTTCTCACACTGAAATTCCTATCCACTGGAGCCTAGCAACACGCTGTACGTGACCTAAACCATGCTGGAGAAAGAAGGGACATGCAAGGTCTGCCCGGAAGCCTGCTTCCTACCCCAAGGCGCAGGGCAACCTACTGGCTGCCCAGGCCAAAGCCACCAAGGCCAAAGCCAGAATAGTGGAAATATAAGTTGTATAAGAACATTTAAAATGCCTAGAGTAAGCCAGGTGCCAGTGGCTCATGGCTGTAATCCTAGCTCCTCAGGAGGCTGAGATCTGAGGATTATGGTTCAAAGCCAACCCGGGCAGGAAAGTTCGTGAGATTCTTTTATCTCCACTGAACCACTGGAAAACCGGAAGTGGCACTGTGACTCAAGTGGTAGAGCACTAGCCTTGAGCTGAAGAGCTCAGGGACAGCGCCCAGGCCCAGAACTCAAGCCCCACAACCAACAAAGAAAAAAAGCCGAAGTAGAGCTGTGGCTCAGGTGATAGAGTGACAACCTTTTGTGAAAAAGCTAAGAGACAGTGGTTCTGAGTTCAAGTCACAGTACTGGCACAAAAACAAAACATATAGAGTACTTGTCACTGGACAGCTTAGCAAACTGGCTCAGCCTGGTAACTGTGCTCCCGCTGTCTTCCTGGGCAGGTGTTTTGCAGAGTAGTGATTGCAGCAGGAGGGCAGGGGAGCAAATGGGGCACTGTGATGCCTGGGGCTCCTCCACGCGCTTCTCTCTCTCCCATTGGCGCAGGGGGTGGCTATTTGCTGTGACAGGAGATGACCTTAGACTCTAGCCTGTGCTCCTCCAGCCTGCAGCACTCGTTCTCAGCCAGGGCTGTCCAGCTCCTGGCAAAGCTCAGCCTGAAATCCTGGGCAAGTTCCCTGTGCTGAACCCTGACTGTTCCTGACTGTCCATGTGTAGTGACAGGCAGGGCCTCTTCAGCTGTCCAGAGCTCAGCAGACCAGCTGGGAGCCAGTGACCAACAGCTGCTGCCATACTCAAAGCCCTTGCTAGCCTCCTCTGAGGGTGCCCTCAGTCGCCCTCAAAAACCCTTTACTGCCCAGCCGGGAGCTGGCCCTGCCTGCAGTGCATGGGGCATCCTGGGACACATGGGTAGGGCCAGGTGTGAGCTGTGCCAGCTTTACCTGATGCCTAGATCAGGAAGAGAACACTCTACCTTAACTTTTGGAAAACTTGCCAACTGGATCCACCTGATTGGGCACCCAGAGAAACGAAAGTCAGAGATAGCCTGTTTATGGACGTGGACTCGAGTAGGGGCTCATGCTGCAGGCCAATCCCAAGAAAACTGGCTTATCCTATAAGCAGCTGGGATCTTGCATGCTGGCTGCTGATGAGGCTGATGGGGTAGTCTGTGTTAGAGGATAGAAAATCCTCTGTAGCCAGCCCAGGAGAGCAGCTGAGATGCCTCAGCATTAGAAACCATAGCTGTAAACCAGGTGTGGTGCTCCTGTCTATAATCCTAGCTTCTCGGGAGATGGACAGAGATCAGGATTAATGTAATTTGAGGTCAGTCCAGGCAAAAGGTTAATGAGAGCCCATCTTAGCCAACAAGCCAGTCATGGTGGCTCACATCTGATCCCAGCTACATAGCAGACATTAGTAAAAGAATCACTAAGCTGGGCGCCGGTGGCTCACGCCTGTAATCCTAGCTACTCAGGAGGCTGCAATCTGAGGATCACGGTTCCATGCCAGCCCAGGTGGGAAAGTCCAGGAGACTTCTAACCAGTTAACCACCAGAAAACCAGAAATGATGCTATGGCTGAAGTGGTAGAGCGTTCGTCTTGAGCTGAAGAGCTGAGAGACAGTGCCCAGGTCCAGAGTTCAAGCCCCATGACTGACAAAAAAAAAAAAAAAATCTCAGAAGCCAGCCCTGGGCAAAAACTGAAAGTGTTCCTGCAGAATAACTAAAACAATAAAAAGGTTGTGGGCATAGCTCAAATGGTAAAGCACCTGCCTAGCACACATGAGGCCCTGAACCAAAAGGGAGGGAAAAACAAACAGAATACAGCTGTCGTCTAAGAGGTTGGGGCCCTGAGATGCGTGTGAGCCTTCTGCACGCTACCATGAAGTGTGGGGTGTCTCTCCAGAGCTCGCTGCCACCCCTTTCCTGACCTGCAAGAGGAGGCCAGGGCTTGTCCTCTGGCTCCAAAGTTTGGGGGTCCTGGGGAGGGAAGCCCTGTGAGACAGAGTGATGAGATCTATGAGGAACCAGTAGAGCAGAAGGAGGTCGAGGCCTGAGAAAGGTCCCGGGAGAGAAGCCCCTCGCCATGCCCACTACCCTAAGTCACACTCAGGCAGCACAGAGCTGGGGCCCCTCCTGCAACAAGGTGGTCAGGGTTCGCTCTGTCGGATGCAGGGCTGTGCTCCGCATGGGCGAGGCCTGGACTCCATCTCAGGCACCACCAACAGAGAAGACAAATGTGAGAAAGCCAGGAAGGCAGTCGAGCCATGAGGACTCGGCCTGAGCATTCCTTCAACTGTTTGGGCGCCCAGGTTTCTCGGGCAGGATGGCTGCCCTGTGCTCCCCGCCCTCCTCCATTGCTTTGCTGTGGTATCCTAGGAACGCCAGCTTCCAGCCTTGTGGTCCTGTTACATAACAGCTTCCAGCCCAGCCGGGACTTGAGTTCAGCCCTCCGGCAGCGAGCGAGCCAGAGAGTGGCAAGCATGGAAAAGCCTCTTCTCCACACTCGGGCTCCACTCCCAGACCTACCACTGCCACTCCAGTGCCCACCTCGGTGTCCCCAGGGAGGGTGCTGGGCCAGCCAGCTGCACACCGCTGGAGTCTTTCAACCAGCACTCTTGTCCTGTCCTTGTCCCACGTGGGCACAGCACCTGTCAATGGCTGCACACTGCCCTGCTCTCTGCAAAGCCAGCAGGCTTGGGGGTAGCCCTAGAGTTGGTATGAGTCCCCCCCCCACTTGCCTGGGTCCTGTCTCTGCACTGCACCGCTTCCTCTATTCAAGATGGGCCCCAGCAGCAGACCCCTGCTGGGGGGCCTCCCCAGCCTGGCCTGTACTGTCCCTCAGCCTGCCCCCCCCCCACCCCGTGGGCAGCTTGCTCAGGTGCAGACCACCTGTACTCCTACCTGCCCTCTTTTCTGGCCAAGGCAGAGTATGCTCCAGCAGCGACTTGAGGACCTCAGGCATGTCCATGGCAGGGGCCACTCCGATCCGGTCGCAGCTAGACATGGCCCGGCAGGAGGTGCTTGCTCTGGGAGTTTAGAAGCAGCTGGAGAGGCAGGGGCTGGGGCTGGCTGGGGAGCCGCAGGCTAGCGAGAGGCAGGCGGGGTGGGAGCCCGAGGCAGCCAATGGGCAGCCCCAGCCTGGCCCGACTGTCCACCCCCAGCTCGGCCACCTGCCAGCTCCGGCTGCAGCCAGGCCTTCCCTTCCCGCTGCTTGGCTGGGCGGACCTGGCCCTGTGCCAGCTGTAGCACGTGGAGCCACCGCTCCAATCCTCTGACAGAGCACCCGGCCTGTTATCTAACTTCGCAAAGGCGAGTTCTCCCCCAGGCTGGCAGCCATAAGCAGTGCTTCCAGATGAGAGCGGTGAGCAGAGCTCCACGCCCACAGCCAGCATGCATGCACCCGCACACAGAGGGCGTGCCCCAGGCTCCAGCGGCTGGGGAGCCCCGGAGGCCCAGGCACGGCGGGGAGCCGGGCACGCCATGGAAACCATCCTGGGCTCACACCTGAGGACCCAGGAAGAGAGAAAAAAGAGCCAGGCAAAAAAGAGCAGCTTCAAGGCAGCTCTGTGCAAAAGATACTTGGTGGGGCAGGCACCAGGCATCCACGTGCAAGTGTGTGCGTCTCAGGTTGTGGCGTGCTTGGATGATGTGTGTGTGCCATGCACACGGGCCCTGCAGCACACAAATGTACATGTGGCATGCATAATTTGGGCTTCTACCATCTGCAGAGCCTAAAGCCTGTTCTCCAAAGGGTAATGTACAGCGTGAAATGCTTTGATCTTTAAGGAGAGGGAAGAAGTCATTAGAGGGCAGCCCGGGTGGACACCACTGGAAGGGACAGCCCTGAAGAGTTGGCTCCAGCTTGCCCTGTATCCAAAGTCATGCTTCCTAATCTGATCCGGAAACCTTGAGAGCAATTGGAAGTTGGTTACAGGTCCCCTCCTCTGTCTTCTTCCAGGGCACTGGCTGGCCCTCTGCCCCCAGGGAATTTTCATGTGTGGGCAAAGCAAGGGTCTGTGTGTCACCCTCCTTCTAAGACTGACATGAGAATGAAGCCACACTTGGTCAAGGGATGGCAGCTTCCCTAGGGGAATTTTGAACAGGTCAGGCAGTGATTGTGGGTCTCAGTCCCCAACTAAATGTTAGGACCTCACAGATTCCATTCAGCTCTACCACCCTGGCTTTGAAGACCCTGGGTTGCAAACAATAAATGCTTGGTTTTCGGCTCTGTATTAAACTTTGTAACATCCTTCACTGATTTCCAAAATCATTTTGCACAGGATAAAAAAAAAATTACTCCAGGGCTGGGAAGGTAGATTTGTGGTAGAGTGCTTGCCTTGCATGCATGAGGCCCTGGGTTCGATTCCTGAGCACCACATAAACAGAAAAAGCCAGAAGTGGTGTTGTAGCTCAAGTGGTAGAGTGCTTGCCTTGAGCTGAAGAGCTGAGGGACAGTGCCCAGGACCAGAGTTCAGGCCCTATGACCAGCAAAAACAAAACAAAACAAAAATACTCCAGGGGCTGGGAAGGTGGCTCAGTGGTAAAGTGCTTGCCTTGCATGCATGAGGCCCTGAGTTCAATTCCTCAGCACCACATAAGCAGAAAAAGCCAGAAGTGACGCTGTGGCTCAAGTGGTAGAGCGCTAGCCTTGAGCTGAAGAGCTGAAGGACAAGGCCCAGGCCCAGAATTCAGGCGCCATGACTGGCAAAAAAAAAAAAAAAATACTCCAGGAGCTGGGCACTGGTGGTTCACACCTATACTCCTAGCTACTTAGGAGGCTGGGATCTGAGGATTGTGGTTCAAAGCCAGGCCAGGCAGGAAAGTCTGTGAAACTTTTTTTTGAGGGGGGGG